TTTACTTATATGTATTTGTGTGTGTGTGTGTGTGTCTCTCTCTCTGTCTCTCTATATATATTTGGTTGGAAATTTTGATACAAAAGTATGTCAAATTTAAAAGGACTCTCATGGTGCAGTTTAGCTCAATTTGCTTTATTGATTGCACAAAGTTTAAAATGATTTCATTAGTCGCCAAAGAAGATGTGGAGCTTGATGTTAAGTCTATAAGAATTAGTCAAATTAAGTATGTAAAGTTTAAACCTTTATGATCAGCTTAGAATTGTCCTAACTAGGTTAGAGAACTTGACATAGTCTAGGCTTCAGAATGATTCTTCAATATGCATGGGAAGATTTTAACACTTGTTGAGATCTCAATTAATAATAGTGAAACCATGATTACTACTATCGACCGAGGGCTATTAGTGTAATCCATCTTGAGCACCCATAGCTAGAAGCATAACAACAATTTCAATGTGTGTCAACAAGGGCTTATTTTTAACATTACTTTTAAAAAAGGTCTAGACTTTATTGCACGTCCTAGTTTCCACCAATTTGCATGTTTTCAACTTTTAAAGTTAGTTTTTTTTTTATATTTATCAATGTATAATGACTTATTAATTTTTATCATTTATGCTAAATAATTTAACAACTTGCGTCAATGCTTTATTTTCAATGAGAATGTCCCTGATAGCTTTTAATTAAGTTTCACTCCTGTAAATACTAATCTGGATGAAATTATCAAGTTTTTAATTGATGGTAGGGGAGTGTGGAAGGTAAGAAATGAACATAAAATTAATTTCCCTTACTCTAAGTTGGCTGCAGTTTTAAAAGCCCGACATTATTCTATCTCTGCTAAGCTACTTCCCTTTACTAATCGTAGCGAAGTGACTAAGGATCAAGCTTCTTTAAATTTTTTTATCCAGAAAATGAAATCCATTGACATGTGTTCTTTTATCCATCATTCTAATCTGAATACCACAAGGGGGGATTTACTCTAAGATTGGGGCACCCATCCACTATCTTTTCCTTGTGCAAGAAATCTGGTGTGTCTTTTCATTGTTGGGAGAAGCAATTTCATACTTTGAAGCCCATTTCCAAATCTAACATTTTATTATATAGAAGTAATGTAGTGTTTGGAAATGGGATCGGCCTAGCTCATGCCTCTACTTCTTACCCCGAACCTCGTTCTTCCACTACTATGGCTTCTATTTCTTATAGATTGGGAGGATGGAAGATGATTTCTCCATCATACATACGACTGTTTATGACTTAGCAAACCATATGACACAAATGTATTGGCAAAATAAAAGGCAATTCGATCAGATTGCCAGTTTTCAGGCAACTCAACTGGGGATGTATAGGCGAAACCAATGTATTGGAGGAGAGAATCTGATTGAGTTCCCAGTTTGTTCACCATACTAGCCTTATGAGTGCACCCGCTGATGCAAGGTTGATTTAGTGTGTTAATTTTGTAAATAGTTTTCAATATTACAAAATACACACGACAAATATAATCTTAAATATGCAAATTAATCCCAATAAAAATAACTTTTATGAAAATAATTTTATCATTTAAAAAACTTCAAACTATCAAATTCTCTAAAAATAACGCAAGTATATTTATCGTTCAAGTAATAAAGGGCTTTAATGAAGTCCTAGATATCAATCCCACAGGAAAGTTGGAAATGCTTATTAGTAAATTCTTAAGATTATAATCTAAACTACAAAAGTGAAGTGTTAAATTTGAATATAAAGTAAATAGAGTGAATGTTAAATAAGATGCAGTAAAAAGATAAAGTTAATTAAACTAATTACTAAACATTTAAAAGTAAAATTATGAAAACTAAATAAATTTTTTGTGATGAAGAGTTTAAATTTAAGAAAGCATCATTCTCCTTTACAATGAGTATATGGATTGTGAAGAAATTAAATTTTTTTGAAAATAATATATATATATTGTTTTGTGCTAAATATGAGCAATCTTATTCTTTACCCCCTTCCAGGTGCATAAAGAAGATTGACTAATCCAGAGTTTGACCACTAATTATGTGGTAGGCTGGGAGGATACAGACTACCACTCCAGAGTTCCCACTACTCCCTTATCTGAGGGCTCACAATATTGCATCAGTTTCCAATCAACTGGACCAAATTGGAGATTTTAATCTGTCACCATAAAATCTCTAATTCTACATCCAAAAAAGTATATTTCCCTATTTATTTGCACTCAAATCCATGAATGACATCCTCTCCCATGAAATCAAATGTGATTCTCACTATGTTGTAGAAATCATAACCCTTTCGGAACATATGTTTCTCAACATATTTTAACATTTCTATTGGCCAGATTGAAAAGTAAATGAAGATCAAATTTCAAATCATCACAAATTATTGACATTTAAAATCGTACAAAACAAAATCAATTCTTCACAAAACCATATCTCAAAGTAAGGAGAAGGATAAAGAAGACTACTCAGAATTCATGAGAAGGATATAACAAAGCATGAATTTCATTAATTAAAAAAAGTTTACAAAATAAAAGAAATAAAAGTCACAACTTATCTCACAATCCTCCCCAAGAAAATCCCTAAAAGTTCTCTTTAAGTCTTTCTCTCCTTACAAGTACTCTCAATTCTCTCTTAGAAGTGTAATGAAGAAGAAATCTCTCTCCTTCTCTGTTCTCTTACAATCCTTGAAGAAAATTTTCAAATCCTTGACTTTATCTCCCTCTCTCTTTCTCTCTTTCGCCACCCTTTACACGCCACTTCAACATCTCCCTTCTTTACCATAGACTTCTCTCTCTTTTATTAAAGGCTACCTCCCTAAAAAAAAAAAATCAAAATTCCCTCCTAAATTTTATCCAAAAGTCAACTCTTTTGAATTCAATAGATATGTTCATTGATCTAAGAGACATATCCCTTCATAAAAGAATCTTCCAAAGTGTTTAGATGCATGTATAGAACAAGTTAACTTTTAAAAATTTGCTCAAAATTTGTCTCAAAAGACCTTAATTCGCAAAAAGTCGTCTTTGGTGCATCTGACACCAGCTTGCTTAAGTCAGCGTTGTTTTAGGTTTTGGCGCATCTGGTGCCAGCTCTCTGTAAAATGATGCATCTGGCACCAATCTGGCACATCTGGTGTTAGCTCTCTGTAAACTAGCGCATTTGGAGCCCAAATTCCTAAAATTCATTGTTTTTGCTCCAAATTTCGTGTTTTTTTGCTACTTTTGCTCCAAATGCCTAAAATTGATATACCTGCAACAAAAATATGAAAATACCCTTCTTTAAAGTGCAATATCACCTAAAATAAACATAAAATGTATACTTAAAACAACAAATTATTTTGGTGTATCACCCGTCAGTCGATAGAAGCAATTCATAAGTAAGAGGAGGATGATGAAAAAGAGGATGAGGAGGAAGCTGAGGAAGAAGATAATTATGTGAAAGATGAGAGATTGTTTCTTTTTGTATGGATGCTTAGGGTTTGATTGTATTTGTTGTTGGTGACTTGGATTGTACTTTCATCACTGTAATTTTTTATTCCTTATTGTAAATATTTAATCTTTTGGGTGCAATTTTAATTAGTTATGGTGTTTCGTTTATTTCAGTAGCACTTGATGTTACATACTTGTTAATTCATTGTTAATACGAGCATGTTGTAGGAAGTATTATTGTCCCCATCTGAATTCATGTTCAAATTATTATAAACGTTGGAATTAAGTTTCGGGGGAAGAATCGCTTGGTGTTTAAGACTATTTGTACTTAGTGAATTAAATGTAAATAGTTGTTTTTAGTTAACTTTAGGAAAGTAGGGATGAATTTAAACCTATAATAATCTTGAGAAAAGAGAAATATAGTTAACTAATTCAAACTTTATCTGAATTAAGTTAAACAAGTGCTAAGTATAATTTGCAAAACAGCTTATGAAAAAGTGATTACTATCTTTACTTTTAAAAAGAAGTAGATATTTGTTAAATTTGATGCACTTAGATGTATATTCAACAAGAGTTTAGCTTTCATAAAATTTTTTCCCTAATACTACTTAAACATTTAAAGCATTAAAAAGAAAAGGAATGTGGAGTGTTTAAATTTAGAGAGATTGCAGTAGAATTCAAAATTATCACAGGGTCTATTCAGATGTAGTAATCCTCAAAGAAATTATGCTTAGGTTTGAAATATTCATTTTAAAGTATGAAAAAAAAAGGTTTAAATGTAAAAAAAAGCATAACGAGGAGAAACTCGAGGATAAGCCTTACCAAAAATTAGTTTTACTAACGTTCTTTTTAAATTGAGAGCTCCACTACATTCCTAAATTTAATTATATTTAGGAATTATTAGTAAATTATTTAAAGGAGAGCTTAATTATGTATATT